GAAGGTCACATATCATATTACTGAATAGCAGTGAACCTAACACTGAGCTCTGGGGAACTAAACTTTTGACGATTTTTAGTCGGCAACATGGTCACCAGTCGTACATTTAAGGTTAAACAACTCAGCAAAGCTGTGATTTGAGCCTTTTGTTAATCGCACCAGGTATTTATGGGCGTTAAGCTGGCCGATCTTTAGTTATTCTATCTTATGTGATGACACTATGGTAACTGTTAGAACAATCGTTGATTGATGTAGCAGTCCGCACTGGGTCCCTAAAACGTGTGATGATCAAACCGCAGAAAATCTTGGATGGCAGTTGAAACAAAATTGTTGGTTTGTACTTTTTAGTGATCTGAATTCTCGGTACACACCTGCATCGATGGTATTGGTTTCGGATGAATCTAGCCCATTGCGCATTTTTTTGTTGCCCCGCATGGTCTTATCTGGTCGGGGGTCTGTACATGCTTTTTAAGGAAGTTAGCAACGTTTCTGCTTTGTTGCAATGCTTCCGTTTGATGAGTTTAATGAGCTTGTACTCCTTCGAGTTTGTACATTAGCGTGTTACTGCTCGTATTGTCTTTTTGGGACTTTTCGCTTCCTGTGCCAAATTAAACGCAAAACCATGTTAAGCACTCTTTTCAGTCTCGTGTGATTGTTTAAGCATCCGCTTGCGATTGCCTCATGACTATCGTGTACTGTATAGATCAAAAGGGTCCCGGCAGCGCCTGTTAGAGGTTGATACTCTATCTATCTTCAATCTGAACCTGACTGGTAGGTGCTTCGTTTTGAGTGGCACAAATCTTTTTATGAGCCTTGTTAGCTCCATTTTAATTAAACTTAGTCGATATTGCTCAGTGCATTTTGAGAATTTCGGATACTAGTTGATATAATTTGTGGTAATCACTTATTCAGTCTTCTCTATACTTCCACAAAAGCAGATTCTTTCTTAGAGCCTTGGAGTCCTCCAAAGCAATAGCCAAGAGGTCAGTTCGTTGTTTGCAACCTTATCGTACTTAAAAATGTCCTTAGCTACCCAAATTCCATCGACTGGATCTTTTAAATCGGTCAGTCTTGTGAAGTAAGACTTGACTCATATCGCGAGATCCAAAATCATCGTGACCGGAGTTTGCTGTACTTTTTCGGATGGCTTGTGTATTAGGGTTTCGACCACAACTGTTGGTAAACAACGCAATTCTAATATACTTTGGAGAGTTGGTATCCACTGTGAATTGCTAATAAAGCTTTACTTCTTTAGAAGAGAAGTACTCACACTGATTTGTTTCGTTAGCCAAGAGACAGCTGAGACACAAGGTTCTACCTTACTGTCCTTGGCTATATTTGCTTTGGCTGCTGATTTCAATTTTGTTTTATTTTGCTCTACGGTGTTGCTAAATTTTAGAGCGGATTTACTCAGTGGTTACACATGCGGCCGTTCTAATCACGTCGGTATGATCAGTGCGCCACACCATGCTTCGTTGGCTATGCTCATACTTGGTTTTTCGGACCACTGTTATTTGCAGACGAACCTGTTTGCAACAGAGTTCACTGCCGACACAGCTGAGGATGTTTATTTATTTCAATCGTTCCCGAGACGATTCGCAAACAATTGAGCTCTAGTCCTCATGTCCCCATGTCTGTGATTTTATTACATTTCGCTCTTAGTGGTGAATTATGGCCGAGGGTAAACAATGGTTGTTCTTTGATGGGGTCAGCTATCTTTCGTCCCTCGTTTATTCGTCAAAATTGGGAAGAAATAAAACCTTTAAAAACATTCGTTTTTTTCTTATCCAAATATATCAGTTGATTTGATGTTTTTGAAGTTATCAACGTTTACTTCAAGAAGTAACATTTTTATCCTAATAGAAAAAGCTTATCGATAAAATTATTTGGCAGTACGTATTATCACCAAATACACTTCACCAGTTAAACACCGTTATTCCGTGGAGTGATTTTATGCTTTTATTTTAAGTTCAACAGAAATGAGCTCCTGGTAAAATTTTTTGAGCTAAACATTATTCTTCTTTCTGTTGGATTAACTACAATTAAGTAATTTTAATCAAAACCGGAGATTTCAATTTTATTGTCGGTTGTAAACCATTAGTCCCTAGAAATGAAGCACAGTAATGGCCCGGAGATTTGACTTTCTATGTATATATATTCCATGAAAACAAAAAAGCTACTGTGACTCAAATTGTTGCATACAATTTGTCATACATTTGACAAATGCAACTAGTTATGAACCTAGAAAAACGATAGCGTAAAATTGCGTTCAATTAACTTCCAGTAATAAGGATTCTTTTGAGCCAGAAATATGGCTATACTCGAAAAATAACAAACTGACATTGTTTCAAGCTGGAGCCAAGTGGAACCTTTTCTGATCGTTGATATTTCATACAAAAGTTTGCATTGTTCAATTTTCTTTTTCTTACAAATAGACTGCTGAGACATTTATGTACAACGGCAAGCAATATGTTGATGCTTCTGGTAAGTTGCCATCGAGCTCCCCTTTTTTAAAAATGTTGTGCTACTTTTCACTCAATAATTCGACATAACTAGTAAACAATTTTCATCATTCTTATTCCTAAACAAAATGTAAAATAAATCTTTAAGAGTGTTGTTTTAAACAAACCAATCGTTAGGTAAAATATTACTTAGTGCTCCAATTCAGGTAAGGGAATCATTTTATTTTTTTGTTCATAACATGAGAATCTTTTGATTGATTCATATAAGGAAAATTTTATTACACTGTATGGCTCCTCATCTGTTTGAATCTGAACGTTAATGTGTCAAATTGTGAGGGTTTCTTTTACACTGGAACCCCAAATACGATAAGCAAATGTCCCTATAAAACTCCGCAAGCACAGTTATTATCTGTGTTGCATAATGCGCTTTAGGAAGTATCGTCGCCACGAAGTAATTTATGAAGTCAAAAGAACTACAATTCCCTGCAACATCACTTGATATATCCCCAGCATTAAAGTATAGAGGGGTTGATGAGTATTTTAGTCTCTGATGTTTACAAAAGTATTGAAGTAAGCACGTTAATAGTAGGCAGAAAATTGTAACATATTTGGGGAAACATGTGGTCATTACCACAGCCATTGATCATTGAAGGATAAACAGTTGGTGGGGCCAAATACTAGGTTTCAATATTTTGCAAGCGGAGACCTTGATTAAACAACTATTAAAGGTATTCTGATACTCGATTACAGGTTTATATATTTCTATTATACGGAAAATGATAAGAACTGAAGAAACTAAGAAGAATAGACCCGAAAGAAGAGCAATACTTGAAACGGAGTGGAAATGTTTTGCAGTGGATTTGGATTCATAAAAAGCAGTTTTATCCCCTTCCCAATAGAGCCTTAAACCGAACACGGGAAAAAACAACTCAATACTCGATGACTATGTTGCTGAAGAGTAAGACCCATTTAAGTACATACAGCACACTGGAAATTGTTAGATTGTATATCTGAACATCGCGAACCAAAAATATGAACAAGTAAATTGAGATAACAAGGCATGGTAATCGAAATAAACGTAGTTTCTAAGGGGTAAAACACATGTAAGAACCGAAAAATAAGAGAGCATTAAATTATGAACAAACAAACGTATGCTGATTATAATGATATACCACAGTGAATAAAGGATCTTGTTGATTCGCTTTGTTCTCATTTTCGCAAGAACTAGTATTTAGACAGAATTAATATACGTTATCTATTTCGCGTGCTGTCTTTCAGCTTTAAGCAAAAATTTATGCATTGATGTCAGACAAAGGAACATACAAGTTAAACTGAGTCACTAAAAGTCAATGGTCGCGAGGTAAGTACAAGTGAATTAGGTAATAAAAATTTGAAACTAAACAAAAATGGTCTGTTTATTTAATAAGTGCTGGCGGTGGAGTAGGAGGGGGGAGAAAAGAGCTCCCAAGCAGTGTCTAATGTGAAGTAAAAACCATCGTATCAAACCAGTTGTGCTTTCAGTGCTTGCCGTTTCATGAATAGTTACCACGAAATCCGTGACATACTAGATCCTTTATTGAGCAGAAACACTTCGGTTGACAACTGGATTCTAGGAAGTTCTTTGCAAATGGACTGGATAGTATTTTCTCCCCGCAAAGATCAAGGTTTTGGTGGAATACTCACACATTACGGTTGACAAATGACATGCTGTCCGGCCATTCCACCACTTGCAGTGGGTAAATTGAGACGAGAAAAGTAAAGATTAAAGCAACTGAGCGGAGAGAACAAAAGGTAAAGCTTGATTCCATAAAACTAATTCAGAGAACAAAGCCTGAACCAGGCAAAATCGAGAGAATAAAAAGCATTGGATAGACCAAATTGTAAGTTCAATACCTAAGAACCAATAAAATGAAAAGAGAAGATTGAAAATGGTCGAATAGAAATACAGTTCAAACCATGGGTGCAGATAAACACTGACATTTGGTGAGAGAAACTTTCAAAGGACAAACATGTGTTTTAATGCCGCCGGAAGTCCACAGAACAAAGTAGAAATCATAATCCTGGCAGGGACAATAAAGGTACAATTTGGGAGTAGCCGGTGAAAGCAGAGTTTTCCCTACAAAATAATTAGTGTTTCAGGCACTTGTTTAATAAAATTTCATGAAAAATCACATCAGTCAGTTACTTTTTCCTATACCTGGGGGTTAAAAACTGGTTTTAATTTGCTATTCCGATTAATTGATAGTCCGTTTTGAAACTTAATATTTTGAGCCGGTTTCACCTACAGTTGAAGATTTTCAAGATCTATCAATAATTGGTCATAACTGCTAAATTTTGACAGTAAAGACAACCGATGTACATATTTGTCCCACGGGATTATGTAATTTGGTAATAAGCTTTTGAAATGCATGGTTGTCATCCCATTCTTATTGCAACAACCAATAAACAGGGGAACATTTTAAAGATGGTGTGCATGTGACAGAGAACGTCATGTCCGCCTCTTGTGTTTCTACTCAAACTGGTACTTTCATCCAGAAAATGAATTTGTTTCTATCCCTAATAGCTATTTCCTGTTCGTCGTGTTCGTATGTACTGGAGAGTGTGAAAATTCTGCTAGCCCAGCAGTCGACCAAGTCAAAGATCAATGTATTTCTCAATTGGGTTTGTGGATATTTGGGAGTCTATGAGCCTGAGGTATGTCATTTGGCATTGATTTGCACTTATGGTCATCTAATTGCATAAAACTTCTGTTCTACTAACTCGTTTTAATACAATTTCAGTGCAATACGGTAGTGCAAACAGATTTACTTGCAGTTGTACGCTGGCTGGAGCATGGTCTAAACTCTCACGGAATGTGCAAGGTAAGTTTTCTTGTATGTTTAATTTCATTTATTGGGGTGGTACTTATAATGTGGATGAGATTGGATTCATAGGCTTGCGCAGTATTACTAATCCTGGATGAAGAACGCCAACTCAACGTATTATACTATTCACTGAATTGCAGCCTCCATCCTATGGCCAACCCTGACTAGCATCTGTCGAACTTTGGCAATGAGTTTGTTGATGTAACTAGTTAGTCACTTGAACTATCCTGTTTGGTTCATTTTTATCCTCGTATCGAACGAGGATAAACTTTGTAATTTGTCGGAAATTAAGCCAGAACTCTTCGATCCCTCTACAACCAGAGATATGCAACGCAAATTATCAGGCTGAGATGAAACGCAATGAGCAATTAAGGGCAAATGCATGAGAAGTAGTTTCCATATAGAACATTCTGTTAGTCCAGCGGACTATTTATCATATACAAATAATCATTCATCGGTGGATTGCATTACTTGTGATTTAATCAATTCGAAGATAACTGTTCGGGTAACACCTGGATTCTATTTCTGGTGGTCTAGATTCTCACAGATCAGGCCGGTGATTGATTTGTGTTACTTTAAAACAAGTCTGTTTTATCCATTTGAGCCAATTAAACTGATACTGCAAAGGTGAATTCGTCGTGCATATGGCAAATGAAGCTTGAACTGAAAAGCTGGGAGGCACTAGACAGGTGTTTCGACCTGGTTGG